GTCTACCCAAGGTACATATACACCAAGTATCAAAGCATTTAGGCTTGTAGTTTTCAAGAAGAAGTCGAAAAAGTAAAACATTGACACGGACGACGACGACGGACGACCACGGACAATCACTCATATGATAAGCTCCGCTCGACAAAGTCGACAGCGGAGCTAAAAATGTATTAATTATTATGCTAATTAGAGAATTAATATGAACAAATTTTAACCCAAAATTAATCAGGCCTGTCTAGTGTCCTAGAGCATTTATGTACCAAATTTTATTCAAATGTGATGATCAGTATTTGAGATATCAGTGTTAATTAATTAATTATGTTAATTAGGTGATTAATAAGCATAAATATTTACCAAAAACTAATTCGGTCTCTGCATAGTTCTAGATTCATTGAAATGTGATGATGAGTACTTTCAAAGTACTAATCAGGTCTCTGCATAGTCCTAGAAGATCTATGTAGCAAGTCTCATTGAAATATGATGATTAGTACTTGAGATATCAGGCAAAAAGCTGAAAATTAACTAATTATGCTAATAAGGTAATTAATGTGCACAAATATTTACCCCAAAACTAATCAGGGGTCTGCACAGTCCTTAAGTAACTATCTACCAAGTTTCATTGAAATGTGATGATTACTACTTGAAATATCAAAAGCTGAAAATTAATTAATTATGCAAATTAGGTCATTAATGTGTACTGATAATACCCTAAAACTTTTAGGTTTGTGCAGTGTCCTATGACATCTATGTACCAAGTTTTAATGAAATGTGATGATTAGTACTTGAGATATCAGTGGAAAAGCCGAAAATTGATTAATCATTATGCAAATTAGGTAATTAATATTGCAGATTTTTACCCAAAACTAATCAAATCTGTGCATTAGTTTGGAGCATCTATTTACCAAGTTTGATCAAAATCCAATGAGTGTTTTTTTAGATATCAGTGGAACAGTCATAGAACAGCTAAAAATCAGCAAATCAACATGCAAATTAGGTAATCAATATGCATAGATTTTTACCAAAACCTAATCAAATTTGCGCATTGGCCCAGAGCATCTATGCACAAAGTTTCATCAAAAAACAATGTACGATTCTTGAGATAACGATGGAACAGACACACGCACACACAGACAGACAGACAGACAGACAGACAGACAGACACACTAACTGCAAAGACTCCCTTTTTGTGCTTCGCACACGGGAGGCACAAAGAGAAATCATTAACAATGTATAATAAACAAGTCATTTAAATTTAAATGTGTGACATGATGTATATTATGTGTAAAATTTGATTGTAATCAGCGTGTCATACTCTGGTACATTAAAACAAAATGGCCACCAGTTGTCTATTTGAATCTGATATACGGTAACATGTATCAAATTCCAATTATGTTGAATGTATGTACATACAAGAGTTTGAATGAAATCGTTCAAAACAAGACTGAGGTCCAGTTTCGAAACAGCAGAAATGATGAATTTTGCATTTTTTAATTTTAAAATGGCTGCTATTCGGCCACCTTAATTGCATGTGTGTGAAATAAGTATATGTGAAGTAAAAGTTAAAATAGCTTCTCAGCTATTGGTAAGTTTGGACACACGCATTTTGTCATACTACACACCAGATAAAATGGAATACTGTGGAATACTTTATTTTCGCTGGAATTAATTTTTGCTGAAAAGGCTTTTTGGGCATTTTTTATTGATTTTTTTTTCACTGATTTTTTATGAGTTTAATGTGAAATATAGGAAAAAAAGTATATTCGCTGAATTTATTTACGGAATCATCCCTTCGGCAAAATAGCGAAAATAAATTCCAAGCAAAAAAAAGTATTCTACAGTACCCTATGTTTTGGATGTGGAACAGAATTCTGACAGAAAGATTTGAATCAAATAGAAATACTTGAGGGTGCACGACTTCTTAACTTCTTGAAAAAGAATTCACAGAGACTTTTAGATCAACTGAAATCTGAAACAAATATGCCATCAACAATATTTATATTGTCACCATGGTGACTGTACAGAACTAACCTGATTTTGCTGCAAAGGTTGGTCTTTGGACTGTTACAGAATTTACAGTCCTTACACTGTGGAATATACAACGGCACAACATGGTCACCAGGTTTAACAGATGTTACTCCTTCCCCAATACTTTCAACAATTCCACCTCCTTCATGTCCCAAAATCACTGGGAATATCCCCTCTGGATCGAATCCATCTAAAGTGTAAGCATCTGTGTGACATACGCCAGTTGCAAGAACCTGATATTTAATAAGATTATACAAGTCAGGTGATGAACAATACATGTCAGGTGTTGTTAAATATCAGGTGATCAACATTGCCAGTCAGGTGATACACAGTACGTGTCAGGTGATCACCAGCACATGTCACATGATCGACAAAATCAAAATGGTTCAAGTGGTCAATTATCATAAAAACTAAATATTGATGTGTTTTATATGCTTCAACAAAAGTTTATGAAATCAAATAAATAAATCTAATTTTACCTTGATACGAACTTCTCCCGCTTTTGGGACTCCAACTTCCACAGTTTCAATACTTAACGGTTTCTTCGCTTCCCAGGCAACAGCAGCCTGACATGTTATTACCTATTACGAAATGAATTCATATCAGTATGTACCTTGAATCAAACACTACAGTAGATGAAATCATTCATTTCAAACCAATTATTTTACATCTTTACAATGATGGAATTTTGATTTCTCTAAAATTTAAAAAAAACATGCCTTCATAAATTCACTGTAACTATACACATTATTTTTTTTTTTTTTTTTTTGGGAAATTTGTAGTTTGTTTTTAGTTGCAAATTATCTTGTTTGAGCAATAAGTTCATAAACATATAATTGCTTCAATTTTGTAGAATTCTTTGTTTCTTTATCTGTTTGGGTGAACCGCAGTCTCTATAGTCTGCAGAGTAACTTCAGGTTGATTGAACATTGATTGAAACCCAAAGTTTGTACCAATTTAGTTTATCCAATCAGTTCAAAATAATTAAAAAAGCCATGTTATCAAATAATTTTTTTATAGTAATACAGTACGAGTACTTGTCCATATTGAGAGTTATTGCTCTGGAAAAGCATTAATTAGAACAAAATGGCATCCAGTCGGCCATTTTGAACCAGATCTTCAAACCAAAATATCTATGACATGATGTATAATGAATATATAAAATTTGAACATCAGTCAAAGCATGTCAGAGATATGGCTCTAGGACCAAGACAAAATTGCCACCAGTCATCCATTTTAAATTCCATCTGAAAAACAAAATGACATGCATAAGGGAGCCATAATGTTTAATGTATGTACCAAGTTTGAACGAAACCAATCCATAAACAAGAACCGGTTCTGAAATATCAGAAATGCATGATTTTTGATTATTTTCTAGCACAAAAAAATGGGCACCACTCCGATCTTCAAGCCAATATATCTGTATATCAATGACATGATTTATAATGAATATTTAAACATAATCAGTCAAAGCATGTCAGAAACATGGCACTAGAACCGTATTCATTAAAACAAAATGGCCGCCAGTCTGCCATTTTGAATCTGATCTGAAGAACAACATGACAGGCAGCAAGGTCCCATAATTTCCAATGTATGTACCAAGTTTGAACAAAATCAATATGTAAATAGCCAAGAAATGTTCGATTATAATGATTTTCCAGGACCAAAATGGCTGCCATTCTTGAATTAGATTTTGAAACAATTTGGTGTGCATATGTATAATATTGTGTATGATGTATGTGTGAAGTTTGAATGTAATCGGTCCGAGCATGTCTAAGATATAGGTCCGAACGGACGCACGCACAGAGGTCAATCCATAAGTCCCCGTTTTCGGATTGCGTCCGAACAGGGATTAACAAATATGGTCATAGTTGTTTGGTTGAAATTTGTTTCACTTCGCAGAGCAAACTTTAAATTAAATATGCGATGGTACAAGTAATAAACTACGTAACTTAGTTCATCAGTTGACTGTGCTTAGTCACTCAAGGGGTGCACAGGCATCTCGAGAACTTAAAAGTTCAACACATCACGTGTCAAGTCAAACAACTTTAATACGAGTTGTATGAGCACACATGTAGTGTGTTTCCGGGTCATACGCGTGGTGCATGTAGCAATTACCTTTCTCATAGCCCCTGATAACTCTAATGGCGAAACTAAACCATTAAACTAGTATAATTATTGAGTTACCTTTCCAACTGTATCAGACATCCTTGCAGCTGGTTTGATTGACAAAAGAGAGAGAACACAGTGACCTAGGAATCGCCTTTAAATATTGCACTCGGCACTAAAATCAGGCGGAGGGTAACCCCAGACCTCCTAGCTGGGCTCTCGCCGCAGCACTAACGCTATATTTTTGGAAAGATTAGAAGTTCTCGGCCTGTGTAAAGAGAATTTGTAAATGTATGGTGCAAACCACATACTAAAATACTACGCATACTATGTCACCGTACAATTAAAAGAACACAATTCCCAATCAAATTCGCGATCTCCGGCTTTAAAAAGCCGAAGTTAAATGGTTAGGGTTATTCCATTTTTTAATAGGCATGAAATACGTAATAGGGGCATGGAAACTTGATTCGATTAAACATCACTAACAGTTAATTAAAGATAATCAATTTAAATATATCATGTTTGAAGTTGCATTAATGTTAAGTTCGAATGAGTTCTTTCTAATTGGTGTGCCCGTGTACGTAAGCTTTCACTCAACCTACACTACCTCTGAAGGTAGTAGAATGGTTTCGCCAACATTTGACCTCAGACGACTAAAAATGGCCGAATCGGCCGAATCTGGTGGTACGACTTTGTCGGCGTCGTCAAAAACACCAGAATTTATAGCCAAATCATTCATCGCTGGAGGTAAGTGACTTATCAATGCTGTTCTAAGAATTTTCTCCGTCTGTTTTTGTAATTGTATGATTATGGAGCATCTGATTCACAAAAATTAAATAAACACATGTGACTCTGTTATAGTTGTGATGTATATTATGATCACTCTGTGATGAAATATGTACCACATATAAATAGATTTCGTTGCTCTTGTTCACGGTTATCTATATATTTGGCATGGATATATTTGATGATCTGGCAAGCATTATTGTTTTTTCATCCTAAGAGTGTAGTTCTAACCTGTAAAAATACTGAGGTGTACGACTTACAGAACGCACCGATAAACGAACATGATCACGAAAACCGCCCAATCATTTTTTGGGGGAATATGTCTTAGTATATTCTTAGCTGTATTTGTTGTGATTTTCCTCCAAAGAACATCGAATTTTATACATGTACGGGCAAGGTGATATGTTCATGGATATGTAGCAGGGGGAAATATCACATAAAACAGCGAGTTATTCCAAAAACAGAGCAAACCGAGAAATTCGTGTCTGCCTGTTCTTGGGGCATGGTGCTAATCTCAAACATAAACAAATTTCTCCTTTTATAGTGACAGAAAATTCTAATTCTAATAAACCCAAACTATAACATTTCATAATCAGAATTGTGAATGAATATACTGTAAAATGACTAATTTTCACTGGGTTTAAATTTCACTGATTTACCATTTCAGGCATATTCAGTGGGTTTTAAATTCACGGTTTTATCATTTAGACAATGTGTTCTATGCTAAATTTTACATATTCACTGGGTTTTAATTTAGCGCATTTTCCAGTCAGCGAAATAAGCACAATTAAAACCCAGTGAATAATTAACCCTTTTACAGTATGTACTTTGCATTATGTGTGTTATAAATTGTAAATGTTTATGCTGAATAGTCGATGGAAGATGATTTTTAAGTGGCTTTATAAGCCACTCGTTATTTTGTGCACAGTTATTGGGGGGGGGGGTGGGTG